TTAACTCGGAACCGGTCGATGATTTAGACGTTCAATTTTCCAATGAAGATGTCCTTTAGTTAAATTGATTATTTTTAATATACATTAATTTTAGAAAAAAAAGCATGGCAAGTGTGGAAACCCACGCCCTGTAAATGGCAAAAATTTGATGCAGTGTGACAAATCTTAGGTGGCGACTACGTGAACTGTTTTTTTCCTTATCATGGGTTTGCGCTTCTGGAACTTTTTCCCGCTCATTTGACAACAACCCAATTCTGCATTCGGATGTTTCATTTTTTCCCACCACATGACACAATAAAGGAGAGTGATGTAGACATCATCTTCAATAACTCACTAAATGAGTTCTTTAATGAAGATGCAGTGCGAGTGCCACACTTTACATGCTGGAGATAGGGTTATGCAGTCGGTAACCTCGATAGTTCATGAAAGACAAATACCTTGCCCTCGTATCTGGCCTTGAAGAATTTAACAAGTATAATCTAATTTACCAATTTTATTTACCTTTAATTAGTTACGAATTACAATGTTTGTAATTTATCTAATTCATGGATTTTGTTTACAACGATTATCCATGGGACATGGTTGTTTGAGATTGTACTTACAATTGGTTGTCTTTTAGAAAATTGAAGGTCATGTTCACCCCACCTTTTAGAGTATTTACAAAGGGTTATCCATGGGTTAATGTTAGTTGGGATTGTACTTATAATTGGTTATCTTATAATAGGAAAAGAGCAACCTACACCCAATAGAGGTTTATGTATACTTTTAGGTAAATTTATTTATTTCAAATTAATATTTTTTAGCATAAACACTTTTCTTAATACTGTGAATTTTTTTTTTTTTTGATAGATTTGGATACTAGACAACTTTCCATACTGAATGATGTTCGCAAACTAAATATTGTTCGGATTCAACAAAACAAGTTAAGCACTTCAGACAAACAAGAAATATGATTTCAACAAACACGTGGAATAAAACTACTTAGAAAACCGCAAAACAAAAAAACTTAACATATGAACACAATATAAAACGTGGTTCACACGATTAGTCGGATCCACTAATACATGGGTGAACGAGAGAAAGAAAGAGAGAGAGAGAGAGAGAGAGAGAGAGAGAGAGAGAGAGGATCTTATTAAACGTTCACATAAATACTATCAATACAAAGTCGCAAACTCACACACTCTTATATGGCTAACAAACAAAAAAGAATCTTCACTTTATTTGAAATTTGCCAAAAGCTAGGTGTTCTCAACCTTACCAATTCTCAAAGAATTTGTTCACAATGATTGTTCTCTTGATTCTTGTGTATAAGGAATGCTATGGGTATATGTTCCTATTTTTAGAAAACTTAGGCATTCCCTACTTTTTATGGGTTTTTCTCATCTATAATCAGTTCATAAATAAGTTACTATAAGTGTCCTACAATCATAAGACGTCATGCAACAAGACTCTAGAATCTTTAAACTAGAAGAAATGTGCATGGCCTCCCACCATGCATCTCAGTTGTACACTAGCACCTCTAATGGACTCAATACCGCACCCGAACCTTAGCATCGTATATGGAGGCTTAAAGGGTAGAACCACATACAAAGGATTAATAGTAGTACCACATTAGCGAAGCAGTACAACATATCCAATACTTGTATTCTTATAGCTTGTGATTCCTTTGACATAGCACCACTACAGAAAATGAATACCGCATCAACAAGTGAACACGTCATCACGAGCAGGCCCGTCCCAGAGGGTGGGTGATAGGGGCGACCATCCAACGCCCATCTTTTAAAGGAGCCCAGAATTTTTATGGAATTTATTATATATATATATATATATATATATATATCAAAAATGTTATATTTAGAAGCTAGTATAAGTAATTTACTTTCAATTATTGAGTTATAATAAAAAAAACTTGGAATTTGTGTTTTTTTGGGGCCTTTTTTTTCACTCGTCCTGGGCCCAAAATATGTTTGGAATAGCCCTGATCACGAGGTGAACATCACATCACCATTTCTTGCATAACACCTCCCTGAATTACACTTCATCCTCTCAATGATCACAAGGTGAACATCACATCACCATTTTTTGCATAACACCTCCCTGACTTACACTTCATCCTCTCAATGAGCATCGTATAAGAAAGATGAACACAAAATCAACCTTTACAGAACCCAACAATCTCCCACTTAAATGCTTGAACAACTTGGTATTTCTATTCCATTTAACTCTACCATATTACTTAATCATACTCCTTTCTCTCTCTCTCTCTCTCTAGCCTTCTCTTCTATGCCCCTTTCATCATATTTCTAAAAGGCCAGTTGAAACCATATAAAGCTTCAACCTCTCAATGGTAACCACATGGGTGAATATATCAGTTGGATTCTTCATTTCAAGGATATTCTTCATATTCAGAGTCACATCATTGATTAACTCTCTAATTCATGAAATGGTATCTTGTGTCAATGTGTTTTTTTTCTATAGTGAAACACTAGATTTTCACCAGGTGAATTGCATTTTGATTATCACAATATAATACACAATACACAATCCTCCTACTGAATTCTGAGTTCAGATAAAAGCTCTGACTATATAAGCTATTTTCTAGCTTCTCTCTCTCTCTCTCTCTCTATATATATATATATATATATATATATATATATATATATATATATATATACATATATACTTGTTTTGTGGTTGAGAGACCAACATTCTTTTGTAACCTAGACATTAAGTTGATTGTTGTACATGTGATCGTGAACACATAAAGCACTGTGCTCTTACCCGAATCTGTACATCCACCCAAATTTGCATTGGCGAACCCTTCTAAGACCACCCACTTTTTTTCTGAAACATAAGGAAACTTCAACTGTTCCTTTCAAGTAACATAACAATTGTTGGATTAAGGTGTCTAAGGTCCTAACTGAATTGGTATAATGTTGATGAATAAAAGTAAAATCCTTTTGGGTTGCCCTCAAAAAAGTAAAGTTCTTTATAATTCCAACGTGTAACATCCTTTATGTTCTTCGATTGACCTCTCTTTTTCGATTTCAGTCTTCCTCTACCCACACCCTTATCTTGAACCTCCTTCCTCTGTCTTCAGAACTTAGGAGACTAATGTAAAATTCATCGCAACTTCTTCTGTGCACATCCTCACCTACGATTAAATCGCTTATGCCTTCAAATGCCAGCTTAGCACTTCCATTAAACTCCTGATTACAGTTACTTCTTTTAGACCAACTAACAGGAAAATATGATAATAGAAGCAACGCTTAGACTTCATCCTCAAATCCAATATCAACTAAAATCGACTTTGAGATGATTAAATTAAAGTTATTCACATGATCAGTCACTGTGCTATCATCCTTCATCTTTAGATTCACCAACTTTTGGATCAAGAAAACCTTATTCGATGTTGAAGGATTTCATACATATTAGACAATGCATCTAATAGTTTGTTGGTAATCTTCATTAACCTACATTATTTTCAAAGGATAACTTTATCACTCCAAGTGTCTACCAATGTAATAAGTCCCATTCCCCCCACTTCATCGCTTTGGGCTTCTTTCCGGATAATGGTTCATGTAACTTATTCTAGTAGAAATAGTTTTCGATTTGCATTCTCCAGAAACTGAAATCGTGACATTTAAATTTTTTGATCTTAACCTTCTCATCTTTATCCATAACTCTGACACCAATTTTTTAGGATTCAACAAAACAAGTTAAATGCTTCAGACACACGAGAGAGAATGATGGAGGATTTTATTAACCACTAAGATAAGATAAAATACAATCACTCACAAAGTTGTAAACTCACACGCTCTTATATGGGTGCCAAACAAAAGAATCTTCACTTTTATGGAAATCTGCCAAAAGCTATGTGCTCTGAAAATAACCAATTCTCAAAGAATTTATTCACAATGATTTCTCTCTTGATTCTTATGCACATAGAATGTTATGGGGATAAGTGCCTATTTATAGAAAACTTTCTGATTGGCCATACCCATCCATAATTAGGTCATAAATAGGTTACCCTAAGTTTCTGCTAATCAGAAGACGCCATGCAACAAGCCTCTAGAATCTTCCACTTATAAGAATTGTGCATGGCCTCCTACCATGCATCTCTGTTGTACACTAGCACCGCTCCTGGGCCGTAGCATCACACGTAGATCGTAACACTACATCAGGTGCCTAAACACCACATTAGAAGAGCAGCACCACATCTTCGATACTTGTCTTCTTATGACTTGTGCTTCCGTAAGCATAGCACACAACTGCAAATGACCACCACATCAAGAAGTGAACACCACATCATCATTTCTTGCACATCACCTCCTTGACTTAGATCACATCCTCTTAACGAGCACCATATCAGAAAGGCGAACACCATATCAGAGAGATGAACACAACATCAATGTTTGGGAGGATATTTATATTTATTTTTAAAATGTATCCATACAGTTCATTTTTCTTATAAAACATCCTACTTTTGTCGATGCCCTTACACCTATAATGGCTATTGTCATTGTATAAACTCACCAAATGTAACATGTGTGTCACCACATATGTCTTCCACTCTTGTATTCCATTAAACATTGGGGCACCTCCGTTGTAAATTTTCTTTTAAATTATAGTACTACTATGTATCAGAAATATATTTACGTTCACTATTCATTTCTTTATTTTTTTCGTAACTTACACAACATTATTTATTCATAAAATCTTAGTTTTATTCCAAATAACATCTGAAACATTTGTATAATTTCTACCTGAAATTCTTCTTTACACCCTTTTAGGTATTTCACGCTCATGTTTTTTGCATTCCAACGTTCTCAATGCGCGGATTTTAGCCTTTTTAAGATATCAAGATTCATAGTTAGACATATTGTTTCTAACATCAATCATGTATGTCGATACCTTTTTCCTGGTCATGCATAATTCATTATCCTTGGACATAAAGATTTAATATAAATAGTCATAGTCATACATCCTTCTCATATTACCACTTATTAAATGAGTTAACAACTTGTTTAAATTCTTTCTTCAATTTCATGTTCCACATGAACTTTTACACAACCTTTAACGTCCCACAAAGTTTCCATAGCAAAGTATGGTTTATCCAGTTTGAACATTAAAACCCCACATATCAAGTCCACATAATACATCACCCTACAATTGAAGATAGAATAGAAAGATCACTTTATGTTCTTGATTTTTTTAACACTAAACCATTTCTTTCCATGATGCATACGCACACGTCTCACCTCATGTCTTGATTTCCTACTTTTTCTACATTCATCTTCTAATGAGTCCTTCAATAGCTTCGTGAGTTTCGGATCCTCTACAATTCCAATAGATATCATTTCATTATGTAGTTCCCTAGCCTTCACTTTTAATCCATGCTTCACTAACCCTTCCACCATTATCACAAAATGTTTAGAATCCGGGAAAACTTCATAATCTTTCATTTTCACCCAAATTTTCAATGCATTTTCAACCTCATCCACACCCAAAAACTTTCCAAGAAGTATAACAAAAGTATCACGGGTCGGCCCGTTTCCCGATCTCACCATTCGTTCAACAAGCTCCAAACTTTCTTCAAAATTTACGCCTACGCCCTCAAGAAAAGCATGATATGTGTCAATATTAGGGCTTACATTTTCTTCCAACATTCTTGACAATATCCCTCTTGCATCTTCTAGTTTTCCCAATTCACATAACGTACGTATTATAAAATTATAAGGGGTAGAATCGGGTTTTAACCCCGTTTCCTTCATCTTCTCCAATATTCTAAGAGCTTCATCAATGCAATTCTCGTGTGAAAGAACATAAACTAATGAATTATAAACCTTTCGATTCGGTGTCCACCCTTTTTTCTTCATTTCATCGTATAATCTTAGTGAATCGAATAAGTTATTGACTTTGGAGAAGCAAGAAATCATGTGGGTGTAGGAATGTTCATCTGGGATTATTTGACATTTGTCCATTTCTTTCCAAACTCTCTTGGCTTCAAGTATGTCCATGAATGTAGTACACCAGCCTTCAAGAATGATGTTGAATCCCTGGGTTTCAAGTGGGAAGAGTTTTGCGTTTAGAAACATGAACTCTTCAGCCTCTTCAATGTAGCCATGTTTATAGAGTGTGTGTAGAAGTGAGTAGAATGAATTCTGATCAGGGCTTAGTTTGAACTTTTCCATTATTTGGAATGTACGAATAGCTTCAGCTGGTTCGTTTGCAGCTGCATATCTATTGAAACACAAATGAATTTGTTACAAGTTACATAGATTCCGAGTTATTTCAGCTTACAAAATCATAAAGTTGTCGTGTTCTTGGAAAAACGGTAGCATTCTACCATGAACGAAAGAGGTAAAGTAATAGCAAAATAACTAAAGGATGTAATTTAGTTCATACCTGTCAATCATGATGAGCATTGGGCGTTGAGTGTTCATGGAAGATTGATACAAGTCCCGAATCAGACACCAAGCATTGTTGAACTTTTTATGGTTCCCTAACACCCATATCATCAAGCTCCAAGCTTTTTCATTATCACATCTCCATTTCTGACCCCATTTAAATACGAAAAAAGCTAACTTCCATCCATCCCTTAATTCCCAAATCACTGAATTGATCAAGACGTCATTCGGCTTGATGCCAGATCTGTCAAGAAAATCCGACGACTCTGCCTCTCCAGGGTTAAAATTACTACGCAATAATTTGACTAATTGAATCACATCTGACTTTGTAGTTTCATTGACACACTCTGTTATCTGGGTGAAGTTTATTGTTTGATAAAGGTGGGATGGGTGGAGTGTAGAAAAATGGTTGTAATCCAGTTTTTGGTATTGAATACCAGGTGTTTGATGAAATGCCTGAAAGAGTGTATGTGTTGAATGCGAATAGGAAAGAGTGGAAAAACCATATTGGGAAGCTAGTGATCTTAGAATAAATGGTAAGAAGAGATGAGAGTGTGTACGTTGTTTGATTGTTCGAGCAAGATAGGAAGAAAACATCAATAGGTTTTCTTTGATTCGCAGCACGCTTCAACTCGAGGGTCAGGGAACCGGGTCAGGGCACTTGCTTTAACTGTTTCAAATGGAAATACACGAAAAGAAACAAATTATACCTTTAAAATTAATTAAAAATAGTTATTTAAACCAATTATACTTTTTTTTTTCAAAAAAAATGTATGATAATGTTTTATAGCTCGTTAACAAGCGATTAATGATGATATGACATTGATGCTATAGGATATTGTAAAACGAATTTTTTTCAATAAACCATTAGGTTTTAATTATTATTTGTTTTTTTCCAAAATAATCATTGGCTTTCGGTTTACAAAGAGTTACAAAGCAGTTATGCAATTTACTACTTTTACGTGCAATCCATTGAAACAAATATATAATAACATTATATGAAAAGGAGCTCTTCTAGTGCTTCCTGTTATTGAATAAAACTGAGTTTCGATACATCCAAATTATCCAAGAAGTGGTGAAACATACCACTTCTAAGCAAGACCTCGGGATAGTATTCAATTTTATGGGTAAACATAATAACCAAAAAACCAAACCAAAACCGAATTAACCGATATAACTGAACCATTTTCAAACTGATGGTTCGGTTTCTACTTTTTTGATAACCGATAACTAACGGTTCGGTTATGGTTTCATAGGTTAACCGAATCATTATTATCCGAACCGCTAACTTTATATTTAGCTATATAAAAATTATAGATTATATATTAAATAATATAGTCCAACTTATCCAAGACTAACTAAAACTTCAAAAAATAATCTATTAATCTTCTTATCAAGAGACGAATGAGCAATCAAACCACCGAAGGCTAATCACACATATACACACAATCATCTAATCACACATTGGGATTAAACTATTGATTAATTTGGTAATCCTAATAAGCTAATTCTACAATTCGTAAACTTTATTCACAATCAGTTGAATCATAACTTTTTATATCATTTTTTAACATCATGATGACATGGTTAACCAATGTTAACCATTAACCAAAACCATAACCATAACTGACAAAAATCATTAATCATAACCAATACTAACCATACCCAATGGATACCAAAATGCATTAACCAATAGTAATGGTTATGGATCGATTTTGTCCAATAACCGAACCAAACCGCCCCTATTCAATTTTACATGTCCACCCAAGAGAGCCACTTTGAGAACGAGTTAACCATGGGAAAGGAAAATATCACCAACGAACAATCTTCCTCCAAATATCATGAGCATCTTGTCATCGGGTCATAACATGAAATGGTCTCCATGCCCCCAAATCAACACCTCTACTAAAGAGATTATGTTTGGTACAAAGACAATTAATAATCAGGGGCGGACCTAGGGGGTCCATGGTGGCATCGGCAACCCTTGACTTTTCCGGTCGCAGTGGAAAAATTTTCGAAAATTTTATTTTTTCTATTACCGTGCAACCCCTGACTTTACCGTGCAACCCCTACTGTGAAATTCTGCGTCCGCCACTGTTAATAATAGCCCTCCATCAAAAAAAAATGTTAAATTTTATTGGAGTCAATTTGTTCCATCGAGTGACACGATTAGTAATTGGGAGGGTGTTCCCAAGTGGAGCTAACGGAAAACACAACAGAAAAATCAAGAAAAGTCCAATTGTCATCCATAGTCGTAGGGTTTAATGTGGGTCCTACCATCCTTATTGATTTTTTGAGCTTTTTTTATTATCACTAACTTATATAAGAAAATTTTTAATAAAATGTGGGTCCTACCACTTTACACACCTTCCTCTTATCCCTTCTCTCCATTACCGTCGACCTGTCCATGGGTAGACCTTGGGTTCTCTTGTATTTGTGATGGAGTAGCCGATGGGAAAAAATCAAATTTAAGGATTTCGACTACTTGTCTTCTGGTAAACAACACCACATCTTCTTCTAGATTCTTCCATAGAATTATGTAATTAATGATTGCAATTGTTGAGATGGGTTGAAGATGAAGAATTATTTGAAAGTGATGATTGCAATTTATATATAAACATATATTCAACTTCGTTACTAGTCTTGTAAATTGTTGTTAAAAAAAAGAAACCAAAGTATTTGATATGATACAGACTTACAATGGTATTTCGACTTTATAATTCCAAGCTTAATCTATATACAAAATGAAAAACTTTCAATAGAAGATGATCGGAGAGCTTGCAAGGTGGAGGAGAGGACCGAATGTTCATAAAATTACAAATAACAAATAAATGATAAAAACAATCTGAAAATGAAATCTATAAGGGTAAAACTATCTTCTTAAGTTTGGTAGGGACCAAATATGCAACAATGGAAAATTCAATAAATCGTCTAAGTAAAACAATTCTTTTAAGGACGAAACTAGCAAAACAAGACAAAACTACAGGGACGATTTATGTAATTTACTCTAAAGTAGGCGACCATCAATAAAATAAATAAATAAATAAACCTTTTTAAACATGATAGTTGTCTTCAGCTATACATTATTCATCAAAACTTGGTAACATGAAAGAAAAGATGTACAAAATTTAATCCTAAAAAAGGCATGACTCTCCTAGACTTAAAAAACCACAAAAAAGAAAAGAAAATGAGGAGTCCAGCAACTCCTGTAATCAACAATACCCAATTAAAAGCCGATGAACTGTTAAACAATCCTATCGGAAAATTCATCCCAAATATTCCCGCCACTACTCCAAAAATTGCAACCACAAATGTCGCAGTTGTCAATAACAACTCAAACTGTATAAGCTGATTCCTCACATTATCCTACATTATTATTTTCATAATCATTAAAAAAACTAAAATCATAATTCAGAAATAAGTCAAACATTAAACATACCAGTTGAATGTTAATAAAGTCCTCAGTATCATCAATGTATTCCTTCAGCTGACAAAAACATCAACCTAATCAAAAACTGATATACAGAAATAAAAATGAAAACAAAAATTAAAATTAATACCGATGTGAGCTTATTAAGAGTGCTATCAATGACAACAAAATAAGCCTCCAACAACATCTCCATTTCTTCAATATGTTGTTTCCCGTTTTCTGAGCTTCTCATGCTTTCATGTCTACTTTTTGCAAAACTAAATGATTTTTCAAGCTTTCGATAATCTGGAGGTGAAGAAACTGGAGAAACAGGAGCTGAAAAAGATTGGACACCTTCACCAATCATAGATTGTTCACCATAATAAATTGACTCCATTCTTTTTTTCTTTTCTGTAAGATACATTTCAGCCATATCTCCATCATCATCCATTAATTGCTCTATTTCATCTCTTACTTTTTGGACTCTTCGAGTTAATGCAACAAGTCTGCTTTTTAATCTTCTAACACGTTCCAAGTTTAATGTGCTGATTGTTGATGTGAGTTCATCTAACAATGGATATGCTTCAGTTTCTAATTCTGCAGCCTGATGAAGGAATTAAATGAAATTCATAACTAAAGGAAAAAAAATGTTATTTTACAAAAGGTGTATTGAATATTGATGAAACCTGTGTTTCTAGAAATGTGCAAGCAGCTTCAAGGGCAATTTCTAGAGCTTTAAACTCAAAGGGTAAATAATCAGATGATGAATTGTTCCCAGATAAATCACTAAATGCATTACATTCTCTCAATCTTTTTAACTCATCAGAATTCCAAAACTCTTTTAATCTTCGTTGTAGTTCAACCACATACTGTAATACATAACTATCAAGAGAATTCAGAAGCAAAACTTCATCAGCTGTTATTATGCAACGAATCTGCTCCAAGTTTACAACTATGGCCTTCTCTCTACCAAGAATTGTTGAAGGGTAAACAAATAATGGATCAAGTAAACGAAGATCACGAGCAGGAAGATCACAACGTCTCATTATAGTGAACTTATTAACTTCAATTACTTGTGAATCTCCAGATGAAGCATCCACACGAATCCATGATCGAACACTTTGGCCTCTCTTTTTTAGGCCTAGAACATCTACACCTTGAAATGGCTGGCGTAATGATGCAAATGGTCTTGAAGATGCATCTCCAAGGTTTGATTGTGGTGTAGGTTTTGGTAGGAGGTGATCTTTTAGGTCTTCCATTAAAAACTAAAAACAGAAAGATATGTAGTAAGCATTAACAAGACAATTTATCATTTATGTTAGGTAATTCGATTGTGAAACATGTAATTGGATAATATGTTGAAGTAATATTCATTTAAATTTCCTGATTTTAACATGCAAGCTTGTTTTTCTTCTGTCCGAGATTTGGATTTTAATTGAGATATTGAACAAATCTTTGGAGGCTTGGAGCATAACACGAGACAGGTAACCATGTTTACGAAAAATCAACTCAAATTGAGAACCAATGACAAATAATAAGAAAATAAAAGGGAATGATCGAATCTAAATATAAGAATTAAATGGATAATGCAGTTACTCACCTCATGCCCTTCCCCTATTGATGAATTAGGGTTTCGCTCCAGAAAAAGTCGATCACATCACTACAGGATGATCAAACCGTCTGTAAATGAACATTCAGATCGGAACATCGAGCAATTGACTTTAAAATACGCGGATTCTTAAACGCATTTACACACGCGGAAACTTATAGGTGCATGTGTTGTATGAATGTATCTTCGACAGAAATTCATAATCAACAATAGATTCAGAAGTAAGAAGATATATGCTGCAGTTTGTACGTACAAAACTTCATATATCTATCTCTGTACAGAATTCAAACCCATAATTGAATATGGAGGTATCAATTTCTAGTAATGATCTTCCAACCGATTCGACTGAAAGAGACGGACCTGGCGTCTTCCGAAAGAATTGACAAGTTTGTTGAGCACCCTCGTTGTAAGTTGAGACTTGCATTTCTTGTCTATCGGGTAGACGGGTAGGAGTCTGACCGAGCGACCCGACTCGTTTCATAACCAACTTGAAAAATACTTGTCTGATTGAGCATTGTTATAATTATATTTTTACTTTTATTTTATTCATATTTATATAAATAGAACCGTGTTTAATCGTAATTGTTTCAACTTAATGAGTCAAGTCGAGTTTGTAAGTCTCGATTACTTTATTAGGCTTGAACTCGAGCTTGAAAGTTAAGGCTCGACTCGAGTTCGAGCCAAATTTTGAGCTCGAGTTTTCTAGTCGAATCAAGTTTCAAGTTTGACAAAACTCAACTTGACTCTGCTAAATTGCCCTTGCTATAGGGGTGTTTGGCAAAGAAGTTGGTATTCGAAAGCCGAAAGCACCACCTTTTATTTGTGCAGGAGTCTTCGGTAAAAATAGTTGTTGGTTTTAAAAGATGGCTATTGCTATAAAAGCCCCCAATTTACATAAAATGCTTGTTTATGTCACAGTACCGTTTTTTGGTGCGTTAATATCCTAACATACTGGAAATTTTGTTCAATTTTACCCCTAACCGAATTTTGCTTGCAAAGGTCGGCCACCCCTTAGCTGATTGGTTGAACTTGCTGAGTCGAACCTTATGTGGCTTGCCACATTGTCAACATTGCTGACCTTCAAGGGAAAAACACATGATGGAAATCGGGGGGGGGGGGGGGGGGGGGGGGGGGGGGAGGGGGAGGGTTGGTTTCAAACCCGGGTCTCCTGATTATTTGTTTGCTTGAAAGACACTTCATCATGTATAAATAAGTTTATAAGGGTATATAAATAATAATAACACATATAAAAACGTTATATACATATGTATGCCTTTATACGCATAAAAACATTATATAAGTATGTATACCTTTATACATCACTTGTATATATAAATATGTATAAAAACGTCTTTATTCATGTTTAGCGTATTTTTATTACAAACTTAAAAACACATTAAAAAATGTATGTTAAAAATCATATTAGACATGTTTAGCGTGTTTTAAAAATCATATTATACATATTATACATAATAAAACATCTTTTTATATATTTTATATGTATAAAAATAATTCCATACGTTCAAATATGTATAAGAACGTTATTTATATGTACAAAAACGTTATTTATATATAAATACATTTTTAAAATGTATAAATATGCTTTAAAACTTAAAATTGATAAATACATAAAAAAAACGTGCAAATATATATACACACAATTTTAAAATGAATAAATGCATATACCTATATTTATATATGTAACACCTAGTTTCCATGATGTTTCTAATTTCAGGGTATCGGGCCGTATTTTGATCGAGTAAAGGTCTTGGGCTTCAATGTGATAGAGTTTAGATCATGTTGGATATTGATAATGTTATAACACCCTTTTTCCAGAATGGATCGATATAGGGCATTATGGAGTCAAAAGTTTAGTTTTTGGGGAAAATCAGATGTCACGACATGACCATAAGGAGGTCAATATGTGATGAGTGAAATGGGAAATGCGTATTCGGGAAGCATATCACGACATGATATTTGTATCGTCACGTCGTGAGGATGGTTGCAGCCCAAGACCATGATCTTTTAGGGTTTCCTCCATATTTAAGCTATTAAACTTGGATTTAGGGTTTCATTTCCAACCTCCATTACCCTTTTGAGCCTTGAATCAAACCCTAATACTCCCCTCTTCATTTCTGATCTTATACTTAGTGTTTTGGAGCCCTTGGAAGGAAGAACAAGGCCTTTGTGGTGTAGAGAATCTCTTGGCAAGCTTGGTGTTGGTGTTTGAGCCATTTATGGATCATTGTAAGAGTCTAAGATCCAAACTTTATGATGATAACTTCTAGATCTAGGATTTTTGTCCCTTTTCCTTCATGTTATGGATGTTTGGATGGAAGGATTCCATAAAGTTGGCAACTTTATTGGTCCTTGAGGTCCCTTAAGGGTTGTGGTTGTTGGATATGGAGTTTGACTAAGTTTGAAAGTCATTAATGTGATTGTGGTTCCATTCTTTATCATTTTGACCAAATATGAGATCAATACATGCATTGGTCATGCATGCCTATAAATCATCGATTTTTAGGATGATTTTGGAGTAAGAAGGCCCTCTAGAAAGTTGGAAAGGATGGCTCAAAGGATTAAGGGCTGAATGCATTAAGTTGTGTCATTCTGCTATAGTCATGACGTGACCGTATGGTTGTCACGACGTGAAAAGGTGTTTTCCCTTCTATTTTGGAGTGCCTTGGTCACGATGTGAGGGCATGGCCATCACGACGTAACGGTGGTTTCCGATCGCGACTGAGTTGTTCAAATCTGGAGTTTTGGTTCGGGGATGAGTTCATTTGTCACGTCAGTTTTGGTTCGGGGATGAGTTCTGATGGGTTTTGAGCATTCTAACACTCCTAAGTGTACATGCAACCCTAAATACCTTGGATCTATGTTTTCTCAATTATACATGCAATTATGAACTTTCCAAGGTATTACCCTATCTAGCATACAATACTTGATACTTGGGTAATCAAATGAATAGAATACATACCTTTGTTTGATGTAGCTTGTCTCCATGAAGCTTGAGTGCCTAGTGCCCCAAGTGTGACACCTCAAATGGTTCACACAACACCAAATGCACATGGAATGACTTGAGAGAAATGGAACACTCCTTGAAATCGTCTAGCCCTCATATTCACACATTAGTGCACGATTTCTTGAGCCATGGGATTCTTTTATATGGTGGCTATTAGGGTTACACCATGTAACTCATAACTTTACCCATTCCTTATGCTCCATGGATTTTAACCTCCATGGAGTATCCATGGGTCACCCCATGGACTTAGTGCAACATAAGGAATCTTGGATCACAAGCCCACATATATAAGAATGAATGATTTACACAATCAACCCATATATTTAATTAGTCTCCTTTTGATCACTTAATTAATTCCAAATTAATTCTTGATCAATACTAATTAAATAACCTTATTAATATATTAGAACTTATAATATATTAACCAACCTTAAGTGTTATTTCTCTCATTATAGTCTATCCAAATGCATGATGCCATGCAACCCAAATGGACCATGTCGGGTCGGGTCAAGTCTTACCAATTATAGTTATGGACTTAGACATTAATCCAACAGTCTCCCACTTGGATAAGTCTAAAACTATTATTGCATATGACTTCAGGAACCGATCAGCAATCGTAGCTCTCAAAAGCTTCTGTCGAACTCTGACCTTGTCGATGAACTCTGACCTTTGTCAATGACTTGTCCATTAGATAAGGGATCATATATTCTCCATTCTAGATATCATATGGACTGAGACATGGATTATCAATCATTCTCTCTGTCCATTTGTTGTTTCCCGATTTCCGATTCATGATGACTGACTGATTGAACAAATCAAATCAGTCCTGGCTTGGCCAAGCACTCACATGTATCATCTTTAAATCATCGAGGGGCCCACAGATATCGCTTTTATCCCGAAGGTAAAAGGAATGGATAAACTTCGACTCATATGGCTTGTTCTACTACTTGTTGAATCATACACAAAGGCACGTTTTATAACATCGAGTTACCGAATGCATTTTCGTGCAATCAATGTACAACCAACTCATAGTAACAACTCATATCTCTAGGTTTGAAGAATATAAGATATTATCGTCTCATGATCACTCGTGATAAAATCCATGAAGTGATTCAAATGAGCGCGGGTTGAATCCAATACTCAGAACTTATGAGCACTCATGAGTGTTGTAGCACCACTTTGTCCACCAACTTGGACCTCTACAAACCAACCCATGACAGTCTTGATTCATATCTACTTCCAACATATGACCGACTGTGGATGGTTTGAATAACTTAATCATTCAGGAAGAGCGACTTAGTTATTCTGGAAGTCAAAACATGCAAAGTGAAACACAAGAATAAATGAATCAAATATGGTATCAAACCCTATGAATATAAATAAACACTTTTATTTATCACCATACTGATTACTCATTATTCATTGTTTCGATTTTATCAACTTTATACTTGAATTAAAAACACTAGTTGTCCCATGCTCCAAGCATGTACACTATGTTTTTCTTAAACAATAGCTTTGCCATACACCAAGTATGCACTCTATGTTTGTCTATGATCCTTACTTTGTGAAATAAACCAATTGAACATAATTTCAATGATTCTAATTTCACACTCCCAAATCCTTATCGAAAAACGTGAGAATTTCAAATTCCTATCATTTATCGAAATCTGTTTAGATTTTAAACTTATATGCACTGACCCTCCTGTAATGAATATGTACAAAGTCACAAAGACTTGTCAACAGTCATTATAAGGTATTCCAATGGAGATCAACTCCATGGAAACTAAGTCTCATATTCAAAGTACATTGCTTTGGACATGCTTCTTGCATTAAGTTTTCTAATCTTACACAGATAACTTCCACCTATGGAGACAACTCCATATTCTCATTTTGACTATCACTTCTGAATAAGAGATGCCTCTTTTCAGAATATGTCAATATGGTCCTTCCAAAATTAGCACTATACTTCCAACTGTCCCTGAGCAACCAATCTTTGGTAAACCTCAGATTGTCCTCGACAATTGCTTAATCATTTTAGTCATATCCAATTCTAGACCTTTTCCCTTCTTAATGCCTCTAGGCATTTGGAAAAATTTAGAAATGACAAATATTATAGCACATGCAATCGATCATGTACCCAAAGAAAATGGTACACGATTCATGATGTCTCACATAAAGACATGATTCTAGACCAGTCTTTTGCTACAATATTTTTATTTGCCATGTTTTCAAAATTTGACTATGAAGAGGGATGTCGTAATCATAATCGAATTTTGAGAACGCAATATATAGAATTTCCTTAAGTTGAACCAATCCAACATGAAATTCATATATATATTCTTGACTAAAGATGATTAAGGTCTCAATCTAAGCCTTTAGAACTGAAATGAAGTATATCATCTCCCTTAATTATAGCAAAACAACTTTTTCAATCCCTGCAGCCTCACGAATTGAAA